CGGAAGCCCTTCCGGTGCTTCATTCCTTTGACCTCTTAGCCTTCGTCCTTTGTCCCACGGTCCTCTGGTCCCCTTGGCCCTCCATCAAAACACAGGAACAGCTTTGGCCCCTTCCCCCAAATCCCCCGCTCTTTTAAGTTACGCAAGCTTGCTTCATGGAATGTCGTGTCGTCAATGGCCCGACTTTCCTAACCCATCGTACGAGCTTTCGCTGCCATCCAGAGTTGCAGAAGTGTGCCCAGAACTAAACAAGTCGACAAGTCTTTTTTATTATGCGACTTTTCCGCGCACGGGCCCGGCAAGAGCCATGGAACACGAGAAGTCACACAGTGCACAAAGCGCGACAAGAATCAAGAAGGTGCGAACAGCTCAAGAGACAAGTTGGCGGGTTCGCCGAGCAGGAATGGGCCCCGGCAAACCCAGCGGTTTAGGGCTTGGGATGGTTTAGGGCCGGGTTTTCCGGTTTGGCAATTTGGTGCTTAAGTATGGCTGTGCCCGGCCTTAAGCTCAACTTGTGTGGTTGTTTTGCTTGTTGGGGTATCCCCTTCGAGATCAGATCACAGTTTTCCTCCCCAAGCTTCGCGCGTGGCTCCGGGAATTGCCCTTCAGGAGAACAGTGGCCGGGGCGATCAGAACTTGGAGTGATCTTGAGAGTTGAGGTTGGCTGAGGTTGCAGCTTTGGTTTAGGATAGCTCGTGCGGACTCCGTGAGTTGCGCAGTCACGGTGTTGCTGCTTTCTCTTATCGTCCGGCCTTAGATTCGTTGGTTTGCTTCTTGGTGCGTTTGGCCTAAACTGTCTGTTTTGCTTGTCGGCACTTCTGGTCTTGACTGGCTGCTCTGCAGCCTGTAGAAGTCTCGAAAGGTGTGAGAAGTGCCAGTCGGTCGCAGTTGGATGCGTCGCCAAGTGTAGGACCACATCAATGTTTGCATCGTTGTGGGGGGCGAGATGCTCCGATGCTGGTGCCGTGCCGAGATTCAGTCTTGAGGAGCTGGTGGCAGCAGCCATCTTCGTTGTGCCCGGCCAATCTGAGGCCCACCATCGGGGGCGAGGCCGCGGCGAGGGTTTACTTCCGGGACGGCTCTGTGCCAGACTCAGAGCCCAAACTTCTCCAGTCCTTGGCTTCCGCCCCCCGTTTCAGATGCCCTCCCTGCTACTGAGGAGCTGATCATGAAGAGCCTCCCGCAGCCTTGCTGACGCACCCTACCCATGGACCCTAAACCCATATACCGCCCTAAAGCCCGAGACCGTACTTCCCCTCCTCCCTGCCAATTTAACGCACTTGTTTGAGCAAACCCCAGCCCAGTACGAGAACTGCTTGAGAATGAGGGCCACCCCCCTTTCCCACCCCCCAAGTTTGCAGTTTACAGATTTTGGCCACACCGAATTCTGGAATCCGAGCAGGGGGGGGGGGGGGGTAGTAGTTGGGGATAGTTGGGGGAAAAATGGCTTTTGATTAAAAACAGCGTGAAGCCAAAAGTACTCAACCCTAAAAGCTTTCGCTGGGTCCCCGGGCTCCCAGCATGATGAGGGCAAGCCTGGCCCTTGTTTCACCTCGTCTCACGGAGTGCACGCGCTATCACGCGCTGTGCGTTGGCACTGACTGCTCATGGTGCGCGTTACAGCGCAGGGAAGGGCGCCTAAGCCCCAACCCCGCCGGAAACCTCCAAGCTCCAAGCCCCAACCTGTTCCCTGGACGCTGTCGCCTTGTTTTCCTCCCCCCCCACAACAGCAGATGCAGGATGGGCTCAGCTGGGCAGGGTTTAGGGCTGAGGGCGCAAGGGCGGTTTGGGGTCTGATGTTGGGTTCTAAAGCATCGGGTTCCGGATTTAGGAAATTTCGGGTTGAGGTTGAAGGTCATGGGAGTCATGGGAAAGCGCCCAGTGAGATGCCTGGACGACCTACGCTAGCGCTCGTCATACCAAGACCAGCGAAGAGCCCCAGTGAACAGCCCGAGGTCTTGAGGTCTTGACTTTCAGCCTCTTCGAGCTGCTGCCGCTCTGCTGCCTGGTCCTGTGTGGTCCTCTTCAGCCTAGTTCCAAGTGCCTGTGACCTGGTAGTGCCAGGCAAGCACCCGCGTGTTGCTACACAGCATGAAAGGATGTGAGAAGCTTGATCATGAACGGGTTCAGCTGCGGGTAGTGGGGCTGTGCAGCACTTGCGTGAGTAAGGCACCCTCGCCCAGTATACACAATATCATTTGGAAGGCCTCGTGGTTGAAGCGGCGAGCTTGAAGTGTGTGCGGGTGCTGGCGTGCGTTTCTCAACATGTCATTGGCTCTTTGCATCATGTTGCGCGAGATGGCGCGAGCGCTGGCATCATTGGTAGCACCTGAGGAACCCACGGTAACCTACGCCATTGAGAGGATCCCGCCTCAAAACCGGGTCCCCGTACAAGTGCAAGACTCAGAAAGGTCAGCAGTGTGCACTCGGTCCTTTCGCCGCCACGGCGGGTCTCCATCCATGTCGAGGCCCTCTCTCTCCTTGCATTGAGACGGTTTCATGCACGTTTCCTTGCACATTTTGAGATCAACATAAGCAAACTAGCCAACCCTAAGTCATGCCCCTCCCTTTGCTTTTCTCAGATTGGGGGGCCGAAGCTTTCCTGGCACTTTTTCCTCTGAGGCAGCGCCTGGGCCGACAGGATGCTTGGGTCAATTTTGTTGGAGAGGACGCTTGGGATTGTTTGTGGAGGAAGTGCCGAAAGACCCCAAGAAGGGTTTGGGGCCTTTAGGGTTCATAGAGTCCAGCGTGTATTCTGGGCGCGTCTCCTAAAAACAAAAGCAACGAGCCTCGACTAGTCCCCGCGGAGTGCCGGCGTGTGCAGTGCGGGTGGCAAAAAAAAATGCCCTGGAAGCCACAGGCCTGGCCATCACTGACGAGATGGCCCACAGCTTGCAGGGTGCTCGGCGTCTTCTTCCCCTAAGGTTTAGAGTTGAGGGTTTGGGGGGTTGAGCACAAAACCCTGGGGTGCCGTGGTGTTGCCTTTGGCCTGCTTGCGGCTTGGAGGCTTCGACATGGAGGTGCCAGGAGCACATTTCGTCCAATAGCTTTTGCCGAGGAGTGCCAGGAGCGACGGAAGGGGGGTTTAGGGAAAGAGCTAGACCAGCAACAATATCCATAAGAACGACAACAATTGCAATAAAATAATCAGAACCCTGATAATAACAACAGAACCATAATCATCACACACATGACAAAAATAGCGGTTTAATAGCCAGAATAAGAACAATACTAGAAGAAGTGAAATAGGAAGAACAATGCTGATAATGAACCCCCCCCGCAAGCCAGGGCCAGCAGGGCAAGAATCCGCTGGAGCACTGCGGGTGCAGGCAGGTGGGCCATGTTTGTCACAGGCTCGTTGGCAACAGCAGAAAATCATCTAGCATCTGAGAGCATTGATCAAAAAGAGAGTTACTCGTAGAATGAAGAATGCAGAAACAACTCACTTCACTCTCTTGGGGGGACTTGTTGACACCAAGGCACGATGCTGGGTTTCCGTGTTGGGAGTGTGTATGCATAAAGGCATATGCAGCATGTTATGGGGGGTGCTCCGTCACTACGGTTTTACTTTTTGACGCCTCATGCGGGTGAGTGAGCAGGAGTGCATGAGTTCTTCTGACATGACTGGCCCGCGCTATGGGGGAGGGTTTCTTTTTTTGGCTGGGAAAAGCTTCAGGCCCAAAAGTGCCCTTTCTTCCACGTGCTGGACACCAGCTGGGATGCCCAGCCTGCGCATGAGTTGAGAGCAATTCAGCATAGTTCCGTGCGTTGGATGTTTGCTGCTCGTAGGCCCCTGGCTTTGGACAGTCGAAAATAGCGACAACAGCCCAGGGGGGAAAAAGGCTAAGAACAACAAGCAAACACATAAACAACAGCTGGCAAGCAACTTGTGTGCCCATCGCCAGATGCCGAAGACCCAAGCCGCAATTTCCTTGAGGTCACTAACGGAACGAGCACGGCCTCTTTTGCACTGCTCGCGCCGCGGCCTCAATGCTGGAGGTGAAGAGATAGGGCTTCGAAGTGCACGGTTAAGGAATTTAGCGTTTTGCGCCTTTTTGTTTATGTCCTGAGAGTCTGCGGGCCCTTATGGTGAAGGGGGGCGGGGTGGGGGCTCCATGTGTTGACGCTTCGCTTGGGTTCTTCTCTTTCTTCTGTAGCGCCAAGTGTGGCTCAAATCACAGCTAGTCTTCCCATTCTTCCCCTGCCTGCATCATGGGCCAAGAGTGCTGTGGCCTCCGTGGGAAGCAGGACCGGGACCTGATGCACGTGGAGCAGCAGACCGAAAAACGATGCAGATTTTTACATGTCTTTCTGGAAGCACACAATAGCAGCAATAGCACATAGAATCATTGCACGGGCTCCGCGGTCCCGAAAGAATCTCGGTGCATAAAGTACAGACATGGTCTGCCCGGTGAACTGCGCGCTACTGCGAGACAGGGGAGCTGGTCACAGCATGTTAGAAGCATTGCCGATCAGCTATTATATGATGATAAGTGCTCCAGATGAAAAAACCGCGCCTGATTTTTGGGCAAATTATCAACGGGGACAGGACTGCTTCACGGACGGACGCCTCATCATGTTCCTGTTCAAGTCTAACCCGTTGCAATCCGGATTCATCCGGAATCATCGAAGTCATTATTTGGGGCAGACCAAGCACGCAGCACGTTTGGCCACAAGCGTCAATCTTCACCGCACCCTGCCGCCCGGCCCGTGTCAAATTCTCATCCTGAGCTGCTGGCAGTTCAAATGCCAACAGGGGTTGGGTGATTGGCTGGAAATTTACTAGTAACCATCAAGACCCTGGCTGGCAAAGCGAGGAAGGTCACGCTTTCTGGCTGACATGAATTTGCCAGCAAGCCCTGGCTCGCCACCGTGCTGCATCCAGTTCGACACGGATATTGTTTCCGGGTCCTGCGCTTGGAGCACGTGTGTCTCTACCTGGATCTGACGGACTTTGTGAAGACACGTTGTCTTGTCGCCAGAGCTTCAGCTTGGCGACCATGCGCGTGTGGTCTCAGATGCAGATGCCAGAAGTGGAAGTGGAAGGGTTGACTTCAATCGTCCCAGATGGAGCCGACGCTTCGAGCATTCACTCCAGGCATCTGGCCAACTTGTTGCAAACTTCCACGGCTCCTGAGGTCGGCCGATGCAGACTCTGGATCGATGAAGCCGAGAGGTGTTTTGCCGAGGCGACGGTCCAGGCGTTTGCATTGGGACTTTGCACCCGTGCATTTGTTGCAGGCACGAACGAAGCTGTTGACGTTTGGGTCTGCGGACGACGTGGGCGCCACAGACTTCAAGCCACGGTCGTGGAACGTTTCTGCAAAGAAGGAATAAGGGATGCGTGCTAACATAACCGCGCATGCAAGTTGTGCTATGTTTG